GGACATTGTTCGGCCATATAAAGGGTTGTTGAGTTTGTAATCATAAGCGTAATCAATAACAGATTTTTACAATTCAGTTAGAATCTCAACAAAACTTTTAAACTCTCTCTCTCTCTCTCTCTCTCTCTCTCTCTCTCTCTCTCTCTCTCTCTCTCTCTCTCTCTCTCTCTCTCTCTCTCTCTCTCTCTCTCTCTCTCTCTCTCTCTCTCTCCTTCCTTTTATCAAACATCTTTCTTGTAAAACCTTTTATTCACTCAACTGGTTCCAACAAATTGGTATAACAGAGTTCGGTTGTGATTCAGAGAAGAATCTAATGGCAAACACAACAACAACGTCAACACAATTTCTAGCGAATCTACCGGTTTTCAAAGGTGAAAACTATCACCGGTGGGTTGCACAAAGGAAGGTTATCTTCAGATTTCAAGATGTTGTTGAAATCTTGAATGATGGAGTATCAGAACTGGAAACAAATGCGATAGAAGCCCAGAAAACTGCGCACAACAATCAAAGGAAGAAAGACGGTAAAGCCTTGTTCTTGATTCATCAATGTGTGGATTATGATGTATTTGACAAGATAATTGAAGAAGAAACAAAAAAGGGAGCTTGGGAAAAGCTAAAGAACTTGTATGGTGGAGATGAGAAATTGAAGAAGGTGAAGTTGTATACGCTAAGGAAGCAATACGAAATGCTCCAGATGAAAGAAGATGAATCAATTGTTGCATATTTTGCAAGAATTGTGACGCTAACAAACCAAATGAAGGCATGTGGTGAATCGATTACGGATCTACAGAAGATAGAAAAAGTGTTGAGATTTTTGACTGCAGATTTTGACTATATTGTTGTGGAAATTGAAGAGGCCAAGACTCTTGAGATGAAGTTGGAAGAACTTCAAGCTTCAGTAGAGGCTCATGAGATGAGGTTGAAGTAGAGAAACTAAAAAAGAGAGAAGGTCGCTGAACAGGCATTGCAATCAAGATTCAGCAAGAAAGTTGGAAAAGAGAAATCGAAGCAGCAAAGGAATCTTGCTAGTGATGAGAAGTCAAGCAAGAATACTTGTTTGATCAAGAAAGGTGTGAGCAACAAGTATTCTAAGAAGAAAGTTGACACGAAATAAGTGCAATGTTACAATTGTCAAGGTTTGGGTCACTATGCTAGAGAATGTCGAAGAAAGAAAGTTGCGAGGACAAAAGATAGCGATGAAGCTCAATATGCACAAGCTGGAGATAGTGATTTTGATGATGCGTTGTTGATGGTGAGCACTCAGTCGAACACTTAGAAAAACAACATGTGGTATCTGTATTCAGGATGCAGCAACCACATGACTGGCAATAAAAAATGGTTTATCAAGTTAGATGAGTCAGTTGAAAAGATGATAAAGTTTGCAGATGGCAGACACATCAAATCAGGTGGTAAAGGAGATATTTCAATTGTCAGGAAGAATGGTCGAAAAGCTACTATCACTGAAGTGTTGTATGTACCTTCTAAGACAATTAACTTTATAAGTGTAGGTCAATTACTTGCAAAAGGCTTCAATATGAAGCTGGAGAAGAATCAGATGAAGGTATAGGAATAATGAGAGGCTAATAATGAAAGCACCATTGGCGGAGAACAAAACGTTCAAAGTTGAACTCAACACATCAAATCACAAATGTCTTGCTTCAACTACAGAAGAAGACAAGAACTGGCTATTGCATCACATGTATGAACATCTAAACTTCAGAAGTTTATGTATGTTCAATCATAAAATGATGGTGTTTGGATTGTCGTATGTAAAGGAACCAAAGCAGATATGCGAGGAATGCTGCAAAGCAAAACAAGCTAGGAAGACATTTAAACATGAGTTGCCCGTGAAATCAAATAAAAAACTAGAACTGGTTCATTCTAAGGATGAAAATGAAGTTGGTGTAGATCAAAGTCTCTATATAAAGATGATAGGAATTTTACTATATCTCACAGCTAGCAGACTGATATCACATTTGTTGTTGGTGTGCGTGCTAGATATCAAGTAAAACCCAAGGCCAGTCATCTCACCCAAGTAAAGAGAATTTTGAAGTACATCAGTGGGACTTATGACTATGTCATATTGTACTCTCATGGTACAAACCCTATATTAGTAGGGTATTGTGATTTTGATTGGGATGGAAATGTTGATGACAGATAAAGGTGGATGTTTCTTAACAATCTGATTTCTTGGTTTAGTAAGAAGCAAAATTGTATCTCTCTATCCACTACTAAAGTTAAGTATATGGTTGTTGGAAGCAGTTACACTAAATTGATATGGATGAAACATATGCTAAAGGAGTACAATGTTGAACAAGATGTCATGATATTGTTCTATGGCAACATGAGTTCCATCAATATTTCAAAGAATCTTGCCAAACACAGTAGAACCAAACATATTGAGATTCATCATCACTTTATAAGAGAACTTGTGGAGGATAAAGTGGTCAATTTAGATTACATTACAACTGACCAACAACTAGCTAAAATATTCACCAAACCATTAGATGTTGTCTATTTTGAAAAATTGAGAAGTGCACTTAGTGTGTGCATATGTTAGATTATATAGCAATCAGTGCTAGGTGAATGTGAAAGGATACAAAGCCTGATCCTATCAAAGTGTTGAAGGAAGTGGTTCCACTTGTGAGATAGACTAGGAGAAGACAAAGTGTTAGTCATCTCAAAGTGTTTGTGTCATTGTGTTTTAAGCATGTGCCTATGATAAGAGTAAGGTCATGTTACTTGTAGGTTACTACTCGACATGTGCTTATAAGCTCCATTTACATGTTACCAACAAGATTGAAATCAGTAGGGATATGTTGATGAAGGAATTAGAAACTTGGATTGAAGCAAATATCAAACTATTTCTAATGTAGTGACAACATTAGAAGTGGGAGATGATGATATTGTAAAACCTATTGATGATGAAGCAATACCAATGAATGAGGTACTAGTTGATGAGCCACAAAATGATCAGCATTTTGAAAATGAATCATAAAGTAAGAGTGATAATGAACCAATGTAGATTCAAAAGGCACAGAGAATTAGACATATATTAAGAAGACTGACAGATTTTGAATTAATTCAGGATATTGAGGTTGATAGTGAAGGAGAAGTCATGCATTGTTCATTGTTGGTGGATGTTGAACCTGTTAGCAATGATAAGGCACTCAAGAAGAAAGTGTAGGTGAAGGCCATGAAGGAAGAACTTGGGGCAATTAAAAGAAACAAGACATGAGAGTTGACTATTTTGCCAAAGAATAAGAAAGCCATTTGTGTGAGATGGATATTTAAAGCTAAAGCTAAAGCATAAAGCAAGATTAGTAGCTAGAAGATTTCAACAAAAAATGGCTCTGAACTACTGTGAACTGTTTGCACTTGTAGCTAGACATAAAATAATAAGATTGGTGATTGCTATAACTGACAGTAGGAATTGGCCTCTGATACATTTAAATGTCAAGTCTGCTTTTCTAAATGTTCCCTTGCAAGAAAAGGTTTACATGTCACAACCTTTTGGATTTGCGACGATGAATAAAGATGAGACGGTGTACAAGCTACATAAAATCTTGTATGGGCTTAAACAAGCTTTAAGAGCTTGGAGTAAGAAAATTGATTCATTTTTCAATCAGTAAGGATTCAAGAAATGTGAACTGGAGTATGGTGTGTATGTGTAGCACGTCCCTAATAACAATGTGATTTTGGTGTGCCTTTATGTTGATGACATGTTACTAACAAGGAGTCGCACCCTGAACCATATGGGTATGAGGTGTGCAATGAAGTTCACATTCAACTCCAATAATATTTGATGCTTGACCAAATTCGATTTGTGAAATCCTGACACTTCTCTCTATCAAAGTCTTTATTCATAATAGGTAGCATTAAGATTGAATGTGTTATATTTGTGCGAACTAAGAATAAGTGTTGTTGTTCGTTCGCTGCACATGATCGTTCTCAATTCCGCACCAACCGTTAATAGCTACAAGGTGTGACCATTTTATTATTGTTCGTGCTCGTTTGTAAGGATCCAAATTTTTTGCTTGGCCAAATCCATATCTCCCACTAGTTTTCGTATAACCATAAATTGATCTCGCATGGTAACAAAAACCAATACATTATTCTTATAATTTAATAAGATAAATTATTGACTATCCTTTATATATTTAGGGGTAATTTATTCTTTATGACATATATCAATCAAATTTTGTTATAAGTAAAATTTTAAAATTATATATTAATAAAAAAATTTAAAAAATTAAAATGAAATCAAAAAAATAATATATAATTTGATTTCTGAGTAATAAGATGTTGGAATGTCAATTGTAAGTAATAATTCTCAAATTAAATGAAAAAGAGAATATTAAACATTTTTTTTAAGTGAGAAAAGACATAGATTAATATATAATTTAAAAAAAATAAAATTTGATTAATATAAATTATTAAAGTTAAATTACCATAAATTTTACAAAGGGTCACCATTTAATAATCACTAAATCGGTGTAAAGTTTAGTTAATTCATTGACCAGATAATCCGCAATGAAGGGTTAAATTTCAAAAAATAAAAAAGTTTGTGAGCAATTATATGAATAAGGTCCCTTTGAAGATGAAAAAATAGTTGGAATACCGAAATTACCGGCTCCAGCATTATATTATAAATAATAATGTGGTTCACTTCCATTTTGATACTAGTATTTTAATAATAAGATCTAGAATGTTTTAATTTAAATTTATATAATAATAAATAAAAAAAGAATAATATGGTGAATAAAAGCGAGGGTGGGAGTGAGATAAAGTGTATTGTATTCCCTTTCCCTTGAAGAGAGCGAGCAAACAGAGAGAGATTCAGAAGCGCGACAAGAACCTTTGTTTTCGATTGTTGTCATCGATTGTCTCGGATCCATCTCTGTTACTGTAATCATTAGATCCAGATTGAGTTGACGGCGGCGCTATTGATGATCGGTGATCGCAGCATTGTGTTGTGGTGACAATCAGAATCGAATTGGATGGCGAGGATGCGAGGAGGCGAAGAGAGTGGAGAAAAAGACAGAGATCCAAAGCATTCTGGATTGGTTAGATTGGCACAAATTGTGACATTATTGGTTGTTTTCGCCGGCGGTGTCGTTATCGGTTTAACCACCACTTCTCATATTCACTACTTCAATAACAATAACAACTACCTTCATTTCATTTCACAACAACATCCTTCTTCTGCTTCTGGTGTCTTCAATCATGTCGGTGGTGATACCCTCCAACACAACAACAACAACAACTGTAACTGTAATTGTACAATCATTCAACACCCTCCTCCGCCATTTTCATATGATATCCAGGAACAAGATATGTTGGAAACCTTTCTTCATCCTTCCACCATCACGCATACTTTCACCGATGACCAGCTTTTCTGGAGGGCTTCCTTGGTTCCCAAGAAACGACACTATCCTTATGCTCGCATACCTAAAATCGCTTTCATGTTCCTTACTAGAGGACCTTTGCCTATGATGCCCCTTTGGGAGAGATTCTTCCAAGGTCACTACAATCTCTTCAACATTTATATCCATGCTCCTCCTGGTTTCGTTCTCAACGTTTCAGATTCTTCTCCCTTTTACCGACGCAACATCCCAAGTCAGGTATATCAATATCATTTTAAATTCATGTCTCTGTCATAGCTTCACAGAGATTCTTTTATTAATACTATATATATATATAATATACCCACACTTGCTGCTCTTTTCTTTTCAATATTCATATATTCTCCCATTAAACTAATGCATTCAATTATTCTTTCTTTTTAGCATTTGAGTTTTTTTTCTTATTCGCAGGCTGTTTCCTGGGGAACAGTTACGCTGGCGGATGCCGAGAGGCGGCTTCTAGCCAATGCGCTGCTCGACTTTTCAAATGAGCGCTTTATTCTCCTATCAGAAAGTTGCATACCTGTCTACAACTTCCCTACTGTTTACAGATATCTTATTGATTCTGCACACAGCTTTGTTGAGTCCTATGACGATCCTTCCCGTTATGGCCGGGGCCGCTACAACCGCCATATGCTTCCTGATATTCAGCTTAGACACTGGCGCAAAGGCTCTCAATGGGTTGAACTTCACCGTGCTCTAGCTGTTTATATCATCTCTGACACCCAATACTTTTCCCTCTTCCGTAAATACTGTAAGCCCGCATGCTACCCTGATGAACATTACATTCCAACCTTCCTCAACATGTTCCATGGTTCCCTTAATTCAAACAGAACAGTCACATGGGTCGACTGGTCAATGCTTGGTCCTCATCCGGCAACCTATGGGAGGGAAAATATAACTGTCGGTTTTATACAGTCCATAAGGAATCATGGATCGCTGTGTCGATATAATTCAGATATGACTTCTATTTGTTATCTCTTTGCTCGCAAGTTTGATCCTAGTGCATTGGAGCCCTTGCTTAACCTCTCTTCAGAAGTCATGAACTTTTAATTTGTTCTATTAATGGATGTATGTACAAGAGGTCAGATACTTATATTTTTTAGTTTAGTCCCTAGATTCGGTAGAGGAGAAAAAAACTCATTTTGCATTGGTAGATCTGTTGTACAGGTATTGTTAGAGAATTTTGATTCTATGCTTGAGAGCATCATTTTGTGGCAGAAACTAACTGCATTTTATTCCTTCCAAGAAGGAATCTATCAATACAGAAATTTTATCTTTTCACCATGTCTCACTTCCATGTGCTTTTTTGGGTTTTAACTTTTCAGTTTTTAATACTGTCAGTACACGATAAATTAGCAACATGCACTTGCTGATTTCTTGAGTTTTGCAACTCTTTTATGTGTAGTAAGCAAATTTCTCACTAAAGAGTTATACTATCATGAATTCTCGGCAGAACCTATGCAAACGATGTTGATGAGAGGGTTAGTAGTGAATCACCATCAGTAGAGTATAGCTGAATTAGTGTCATATTCTAGGACTTTGTAACCATGAAAGAGGCTTAGAATTAGGTTTGGCTCCAACCTTCCTAAAAGTGACTAGGGGTCTAGCAACCCTGTTAAGCTCAAAGCAGTCATTGGCCATCCATCACAATTCACAACTGGTAAAATGAGAGGAGTGTAATTTTCTCATGGAAAGCCATTCTTGTCATTACACACTCCATGTATAATCTCAGTAATTGAACACAAGTTTTTCATAAGTTAACTTCTTTTTCTTTAGCTTTAATGAATCATAATTCTTTCAATCTATATTCTCGAATCTTGTATGACACCGTGCATATACATGCAAATAAGGACTTGGGTTGATTGGTATCACTCTTCAGGGTGCTGTTTCTAAATGGTTTATTCTGGAAGCACTCTTTTGTGGTTCATCTAGCGACTATCGGGTAATATCAAGTTGTCGACACAACCACAAATCACAAAAATCTCCAGAGCTCTCTCTCTAGTTGTTTCTTTCTGTAACTTTTTTCTTTGATTATGACTAGTATTTCTTCCTTTCATCTTATGTCTTACATCTCACACTTCATGAATTGTATGCCTTTTGTTTGATATGATTCTGTAGGCTCGTTTTAAGATTACAATTTTATGATAGTTATTAGTATTTGTATATAGGTGGAAAAGGTATTTTTCTTTATATTCATTTACAAGTGTTGATTATGTGTTTCAAACTTGTAATGTTAATTATTCCTCTAGTCATGTGTTATATAATCAGATTATGAAGGAAGGATTTTAGAATGGTGTAGGGAAGTTTAGAAGATAAATATATTGAATTATTCTTTAGTCTTTATCTAAACAGCATGCACGTGTTGTTTTATTAATAATGATGGTGCATGTACACACTATAATAATGATGACTTGATAATAAAGTTAAATGTAATTATAGTCAACAATTGTGAAGTGGTTCAATGGTAAGTATGTTTTTCTTCCATTGAAATGACTTGGGTTTGATTCCTAACTTCCAATAAAAAAAATTAAGAATTTTTCTGATCATTTAATGACCTTGAAGATTAATGTTTACCAAGTTACGTGCCACAAAAGTTGGACGGAAAGGACTAACGTAGACTTTTTTAAACAATTAAAGAACCACTTTGATAAACTTAAGGAACCAAAAAGAGTATTTTGTCAAATAATAAATATCACATAGATATTTTAAAGGAACAAATCATTTGAGACAAATAAAAATAGGAAAGATTATATCTATTGTGAGATAGATAGAGTAATAGATAAAGATTATATACAAATTGAAGTTCACTTTGATACCATGAGAGTGTTTAGGTGAATAATCTTGATTTTGATACTTTGAAAGTGTGTATGTGGATAAGTTTTTTATAATTTTTTTATATATAATAATGATTACATATAAATTGAAAGCACACAATAAGCGCATTGCGCTACTATCTTTTTGGATAGTAAAATCAATCCTTTTAAAAATTATATCTATTGTTTTATGAGACACAACATTGTTATGCATGAGTATTTGGACTTTTTATAAATAATTTTTTTTGCCTATGATGTTAGAAAATCAAAAGTGTCAAAGATAAATGATATGAAAGCATGTTGATTGTCAAAACACATTTGACCACTTTACTTAAAGCAGCTTTGATGTTATAGTAAAATCTCCAGTCCTCGGTCTCACCAGAGGATAAACTTCAGTCAAGACTACATATGCATGTTCCTGCTTGTCCACATGTATACCATAACATTTGTTGGCTTAAGCGATGATCTTCCCTCTTTATCGGTTGGTCAAGAAATTCACAAACGTCTATTTTTTCATAGATACTCTCGTCCATCAAAAATATCAAATAAGACATCCCTAACAAATTCATGTCGGTATTTGAGAACAACTTCATACAATGAATTGTGTGTTTCCTAAATGTATCTATTTTTTCTAAGCAAAAAAATGCAAAAACAACAAAAATATTTCTTTTCTTACTATTTAGAAATTTATAGGATTTTATCTTCTCCGCGCGTTTATTTATTTTGCTCACGTTTATTTTCACAAATATATTGTAACTGTACATGGGATGTAATAGACTTTAAACTATGACCTTTTACTTTTTATCCCCCGTTTTTTGGTTTGTAATTTTCCCCATCTCGAAGCGATGTAATAGCATAGCTTAAATTCTCGCACTTCTATTTTCTGTATATATATATATATATATATATATATATATATATATATATATATATATATATATATATATATATATATATATATATATATATATATATATATATATATATATATATATATATATATATATATATATATATATATATATATATATATATATATATATATATATAACTGCTAGATGTATGATTAATAGGATTGCATGATAAAATCAGAAAATAAATGGTAGAAAAACTTAAATGTTTAAAGATAAATAACTGAAACACAACACACTCGCACACGCGCACCTCTAAAGTACCTCCACTTGTTGCCTTCGGAAAAACAGTCATGTCCCTCGAACATGGGACACTTTAGTAAAGACCCTCGATTAAAAAGATCGTAGTCCCTCGATGACCTTTCGATGTTGCCTTCGGTACACGATCTAGTCCCTTACGATAAAATTACTAAAGTGCCCTACGAGTTGCCTTCGTAACTGTACGATGATCCGCGCTTGTCCCTCAAACATCCAATGATAGGGTTACCTACTAACTAATAGTAGGATAGAGCTATCTAAAGGAAATGAGGAAAAGAACAAAAATCTTTCGAGTAGGTAGATAGCTCATAGTTGCTTGCTCACACAAACAAACAAAACAATTTTCACACATATACACTCTCTTTCCAAAATATTTTAAATGACAAAAAAAACACTTTGAATACGTTCTCGCCGAAATGAGAAACATTACAAAGTTCGCCATACTAAGGCGTCTTTTCAAAAATATTTTCAAAAATACTTACACCAAAAAGTATTTTCAAAGTGAGCTAGCAACTAAGAGCCCGTAGATAACTATAGATAGAAAGGATGCTAACACCTTCCCTTTCCATAACCTACCCCCTGAACCCAAAATCTTTAAAAAGATTTTTCTTGTTCTTTTCACCCTTTCCTTTGTTGGATAAAAAAAGTCGGTGGCGACTCTTGCTTACCTCAACATTTGCGCTAAAACGCAAAAACCAGTAAAGTTAGTTCTCCCACTGTATTACAAAACTGACGACTCTGCTGGGGATAACTAAAAGTGGGGTTACCTTAGAGATAGTTCATACATTTAAATGATTTACCTGTTTGACTTGCTTGCTTTACATTTCGGGTTATATTTGGGTATTCTTGCATAGATCCTATACCCGAATTTAGGGCGTATTAGGTAAGTAGCAATAGATCGTGGGAACTATGCGACGTAATAGCGATATGGTTGAAGCGATGGCTACGTTAGTGTGACACATTTATTGGTACTGGTATCCCTTGAGTCCAGTCAAGGAGAATACGGGGCCGCTGTTTGGTGTCATAAAGCACTAACTTACTGTAGAACCTTAGTTGAACAACTTGGCCATTAGAAAGTAGTGAGGTAGCCGACTTTGGTATAAGACTAAAGTTAGTTGATACTTGATGCTACACTCATTAAGGTCAGACTTTCGGGATATTTTGGTCGCTAATAAAGAAGCTTGAGCTGAAACAATACCCGAAAGAAAGATCAGTGATATTGAGATCCTTTAGAACCCGGTTACTTTCTTTAGGACACGTTGGACCAACTAAACTTCAAGAGGGTACTTACCTATAAACTCCATGCAAGCTTTAACCTAAGGCCTTATGTGGTTTGTTTGTGTGTGATTAAATTGTTCGAACATAACATCATGCATTGTAACATTCATACAATTTTCTAACCATTTTAAGGACCAGGGAATTTATCTTAGTTCAATTTTGCAGACCATGGCTTCCGCCCGCAGAAATACCATCTGAATCAACCTCGTAAGGGTGCCTTCTCAACTCAAAGAGTTAGCTTCAAGGGTTTCTGAAAATTCTTCGTTCACCAAAAGATATGGTCGACTTCTCAATCTGGTTACTTCAAGCCTCAAAGAAGACATGATAAGGGTGCTCTTTCAGTTCTTTGACCCTGTACATCATTGTTTCACTTTCCCTGGTTATCAATTGGTGCCTAAAATGGAAGAATTCCCTCAACTACTAGGAGTACCTGTTCTTGATCAAACACCCTTCACTGGTTTAGAGGAAACTCCAAAGCCCGGAGGTATTGCAAAGGCCTTACATCTGAAGAGTTTTGGGATGGAGAAGGCTCGACTATTTTGGGAAAATTTGGATTTACAAGCTTTTGAGGAGATCCTGAATCTTCTAATCTATGGGATGGTAATTTTTCCTAACCCTGGCCAACTCATAGGTGTGAATGTTGTAAAAAATTTCCTTACTCGTAACCCCGTGCCTACATTGCTTGGAGACATTTTGAACTCTATTCATACTCGCACCATGAAGAAGCGAGGGACTCTTATGTGTTGTTTGACTTTTCTATCCAGGTGGTTTATTTCGCACCTTCCTCGAT